CCCCAGGCAACGGCGCTTCCCGGCCGGGGCCTCGCGTGTGCTGCGCGCCTCCTCCTCCAGGACCCTGTCGGCAGCGCTCCCGCCTCTCTGCCCGCGCGGTCCTGCCTGGCAGGGCGGCCTCTGTCGGCGCCCTGCGGCCTCTCCCGTTCGCCTCCCGGGCTGGATTTGGGAGCGGACGGACCAGCCACCCTCGGCCCCTGACTCCGGGGCTGCGCCGAGCAGGGAGGGCCCGCCTGGCTGGCCACGTTTCTCCCGAGGGGAAGGAGGGACCCCTTCTCTTTTGCCACCCGCGCCGGGCTCGCCTCCCGTCACCCCAAGCCCCGCTGCCCCCGGTCCGGGACGGATGGGCTCCAACGGGCGATGCCAGGAGGGCGGCAGAGGACAGAGCTCGGCCGGGGTGGTGGCTGAGCGGCCTTCTTTCCAAAACCCGGAATCCCGGAGGGAGAAGAGGCACGTGCTGGGCGGAGGGATGCCAGCCTCCAGGCGCGACCTGGGGACCCCCCCCCAAATTGCTACACGTCTCCAGACTGCAGAGATCAGTTCTCCTGGAGAAAATGGATGCTTTGGAGGGTGGACTCTATGGCATCGCATCCCACTGAGGTCCCGGTTCTCCCCAGGCTCCATCCCCAGATCTCAAGGAGTTTCCCAGCCTGGATCTGCCTCCCCTCATCTCTTGCTGAGGGATTGGGGGGGGGACCCCCGCTGGGGAGCTTTTTAGAAGAGCTCTTCAGTGACTCCTGCAGCAGAGCGCTCTTGACCTGAGCCCATCTACGAGTAGCTCAGAGGCAGAAAGGAGCAGCGGGGGGGGGGGGGGGGGGCCCCTGCTGCTGATTCGCTCCTCCTGGCCCGGCCCCGCTGCTTTGAGCCCCGCCGGCCGGGGAATCGGGAACGTGTGATTGGAGAGGGGAGGGGGGGGGCGGCGCAGCAGCCGGGCGGACCCGTAGTAAATCCAAAGGCTTGTTCCCGAATCTTTGGCACCGGCGCCTCGCTGCAGAGGGGACTCCCGCCTCGGGGGCGACTGCAGTGGCCTGGCGCGGACACCAGGCCGGCGGGGCGGGCTCGCCGAGGCCCGCCCTTCTTCTCTTCCTCCGCTCCTCCTCCTCCTCGCCCAGGCGGAGGCGAGGGGCGCGGCGCGGCGGCGCCGCTCAGAAGGGCGCGCTTGCGATCCCGGCCCCAGTGGTGGCGTCCGTTTCGGCAGAGCTGGTTTGCAAAGCTCGGCAGGGCGGCCCAGTTCGGCCCGGCTTTCCTTGCAGCCTGCGGCGGTGGCGGAGCTCCCCTTGGGCCGCCCCGCACAGTCCCGGCGGCTTCTGGGCAGGCGCTAGAACGCACGTGTGCGGCGGTGTGCGTTGTAAGGCGCCCCTCCCCAGGCCCCCCCCCCCCCATTGCCCGGAACCCTGCCACGTCGCCTGGTTGGTCTCCTCCTGCCTCGGGGCTCGGGTTGGTTCCTAATCCCCAGAGTACGACGCAGCCCGCTTCAGGGAGCGCGCAGAGGCGCGGGGTGCATTCGGGCGTCGCTGTCTCCGCGTTACTTGCAACAGAAACCTGCGCCTCTGTCGATGCCTTAATGCTGAGCGGGGAGGGCCAGGCCGGCTTGCGGAAACCATCTGGAGCAGATTTGTTCTGCAAGCTTTTTTTTTTTTTTTTGCAATGCACCTGTTTACGGCACTTAATGGTCTGTATTTTAGGGAGAGGGAAGGGATTAGCGAGTGCCGGCTTCCTCGCTGGGGACTGACGGGGAGAGAACCACCCCCGGGCTTTCCCAGCGCTCTCTTGCTGGGAAGGAGAAGCGCTCAACTTTGCTTTGCGGATGCCTGTCCTGACGGCTCTTGTGAGCCAGGAGGGTAGTTTTTTGGGGTCTTTTTTGCTGGCACATGGAGGGAGCACTGTTGCCCATGATGTAACTCCCCTCCCACCACCACCACTCTGGGAATCTCCTCTATTGTTAAATTCCAACTCAGCCCTGATGCAAACCAAATGGCATTGTGAAGGGAGTTAGGAGAGGTGTAAACCAGGTGACTTGGCTCTGGGCCAGCACAGGGGTGGTGCAAGGGCAACTTTGCTTCCCCCCCTTCTTGCACGTGGGCCGAGGCGCAGCCACTAGGACTGGTGGGATTCCAGAAAGCTTCCCAAGGGGGGTGGGTGGAGGAGGAGGGCTGTCTGTTTGCAGCAAGGAACAATCTCTTTTTACCACTTGGCATTGATTTGCTTGGGCCACTGGAGCAGAAACGAAACCCAGGCAATCTATAAAAATTCTATTAAGACAAAGATTACCCACCCAAACAAAATACCTATGGAGGCAAGACAAAATAGGCCCCCCTCCGCATTGGTCCCAGAGCGGTTCTGTTAATGGCTTTCCCCATACAGGATCGAGGTGGAACATGGTGTGGGAAGCGTGTTTTAATGGCTGAGTCAACAGATCGACAGGAATAAAAGAAGGTGTGCGCTGGGGGGATGTTTTGCAGGCCGCAGTGGAGCCCAGCGATATGCCTTAACATAATGAAATTTAATTTGGCACAGTGGGGAATGACATGTTTGGGGAGAAAGGCACTTCCTTCAAAGATGAGAAGGCAGAGGATGTATTGATGGGCAAAGCTACCCCCCCCCCCCCCCCTTTTTAGAACCTCGGGAAACCTGCCTTTCATTTATTTTCAAGTTAAGTGTCTAGTCCTCAAGCTTCAAAGTTTGAAACAGTTGGCAAGCCAGTGCCAAAGGCCTCGAAATGAGGTGTCGTCATCTTGAAACTCTCAAGATTTGTAAATTTCAAGAGTTTTCTTTCAAGGGCTGGCACACACTTTTTTGCATCTGAGATTCCAGAAGAAGGGTATCAGTCAGTCTCCACCAACTGTAGTTTAGCATCTGTTGT